GAGACTATCATTTGAAGCACAAGAGCAAGGAGTTCATCATCAACACACCATTTGTTACTTCTTGGAGAGCGGTGTCTCCTAGATTGGCTAGGTGTCACTTGGGAGCCTCCGACAAGATTGTGGAGTTGAACCAAGGAGTTTGTAAGGGTAAGGAGATTGCCTACTTCGTGAAGATCTACCGCTAGTGAGGCAAGTCCTTCATGGGCGACGACTATGATGGAATAGACAAGGTTGCTTCTTCGTGGACCCTTTGTGGGTGGATCCCTCCGTGGACTCGCGCAACCGTTACCCTCCGTGGGTTGAAGTCTCCATCAACATGGATGTACGATAGCACCACCTATCGGAACCACGACAAAAACATCTGTGTTTCCAATTGCGTTTGAATACTCCAAACCCTTCCCTTTACATTCTTGCAAGTTGCATGCTTTACTTTCCGCTGCTCATATACTCTTTGCATGCTTGCTTGATATGTATTGTGTTTGTTAAAATTGTGCTTAAACTCCACTCCAACCTAAGAATATTAAAAACTGCAACTTTTGGCACTTAGTGTCTAATCACCCCCCCTCTAGACACCTCTTCTCGATCCTTTCAACTATCCATCTCTGTTGCCTTTAAAAGGCTTTTTCCATTGACCGGGTTGAGAGCCCCTAAATCTGGCGTTTACTGTCGTATTGTCTGGGTTGTCTTCATTGTTTTGATGCTTGCTTTTGTTGCGTCGTGGTTTTCCATTGCCATCCCTGACTTCGGATGTGCCTGGGTCGCTGGTGCTACTACGGGCCAGCCAGCTATCTTCGCCCACGCAAAAGCGGGTCATAAGGCTTGTTAGGGTTGCCATTGTCCTCGGTTTTTCCTGGCCGAGGTGTCCGGCGAGCCATTCATCCTGGATACTATGTTTGAAAGCTGCTAAGGCTTCAGCGTCCGGGCAATCGATAATTTGATTCTTCTTAGTGAGAAATATGTTCCAAAGCTTCCGGGCTGACTCTCCGGGCTGTTGAATTATATGACTAAGATAGTCTGCGTCCGGAGGTCGGACATAAGTTCCTTGAAAATTAGCCCTAAAAGCGTCCTCAAGCTCCTCCCAACTTCCAATTGAATTTTCGGGGAGGCTCTTCAGCTAGTGCCGAGCTGGTCCTTTCAGCTTGAGGATAAAGTATTTGATGGCGTGGAGGTCGTCTCCGCGAGCCATATGGATATGGAGGATGAAGTCCTCAATCCAGACCCCGGGGTCTGTCGTTCCGTCGTACGCCTCTATGTTCACGGGTTTGAATCCCTCTGGAAATTCGTGATCCAGCACCTCATCGGTGAAACATAGGGGGTGTGCGGCACCCCTGTATTTGGATGTGTCCCAGCGTTCCGACGGTTGTAGCATTTGGTTTTGATTGTGCGCTGGAGCACGCTTCCTAGATCCGTAGATGGATCTGGTCACACCGGCATTTTGATGTAAGTCCTTGCGTGGATCGTGTGCTGGCTTGTGTGCGGCCTCGTTAGCCGCCCTATCACGGCCACGAGGTGGTCGATCCGACTGATCAGCCGCTTTATTTTTCGGTTGTATAGGCTCTAAAGCCTTGTCATCAAATTCGGGCAACAACTTGCGCTTTGGATAGCTCTTTGTGTGGTAAGTACCACCATACTTTTCTTCATTGTCGAGCACTTTTTTCCATCTACTGTTGAGCATATTCTACGCGGCCTTAAGCCTTTGCTTCTGCTTCTTCAGACTCCTCGCAGTGGCAATAAGCCTTCTATGGAGGTTCTCTTGTTCCAAGTGCCTTTCGGGGATGATGTTTGCATCTTTGTCTGGACCGTTTCCTCTCTAGAGGGAGATTGATGAGCTTTATCCTCGGCGTCGTCGTGTTCGGATAGCGGATCCGTACTATGTTCGCCAGTTGCTGGTTCATCCTGCTCTATTGCTGGATCCATGTGGTCGTCATTTCCTTTGGATTCGACCGGGGTGTTATTCTTTCTTGCGCTGTTATCGCTGTTGAGGCGGGATTTAGAGCGGCGCCTACGTCGTCGCTTTGGTTGCTTCTCGAGGAAATTGTCCTTCGCTGCATCCTTCCATTCCTCATCATTGTTCTCTTTGGGTGTATCCACCATGTATATATCGTGTGATGAGGTGGCAGTCCAGCGCCCTGTGGGCGGTGGTTCCTGTTCGTCTCCTGCATCGTCGTCCATACCGTCGATGTCTTTAGAGCCGAAATCGAGCATGTCGGTTAAATCATCGACAGTGGCTACTAAGTGGGTGGTGGGTGGGCAGCGAATTTCTTTGTCGTCGGCACCCCATTCTAGCCGGACATAGTTCGACCAAGGGTCCCCTGACAAGGAGAGAGACCTTAATGAATTTAGCACATTGCCCAAAGGCGAGTGCTGAAAGATATCCGCGGAGGTAAACTCCATGATCGGTGCCCAATCAGATTCGATAGGCATGGATGCAAGCGGTTCGGGGCCTGTGGCCGGGGATGAATCTGAGGATCCGGCGACATAGGTCTCATAAGAGGTGAAGTCGGTATTTGGCTCTATGGCCACTGAGCGTGTGGCCTCTGAGGCGGGGTCCATCCGCCCGTCCTCGGATGGCGCAATCGACTCCGGATCTAGGGCCGGAGTAGGCATAGGTGTGATCTCCCGAACACCGTCCGGCGGCAGAGCTAAGTCGTGCCCGTCATGACTGTGTGGCGCACCTGACATGGGCTCGAATCCGTCAAAGATCAAGTCTCCGTGGATGTCGGCAGTGTAATTTAAATTTTCGAACCTGACCTGACGGCCGGGGGCGTAGCTCTCGATCTGCTCCAGATGGCCAAGCGAGTTGGCCCGCAGTACGAAGCCGCCAAATACGAAGATCTATCCGGGGAGGAAAACCTCACCTTGGATCGCATCGTTATCGATGATTGAAGGAGCCATCAAGCCTTTATCGCGACAACACAGTGGAACGCTCAATGAAAGCACCAATGTCGGTGTCAAAACCGGCGGATCTCGGGTAGGGGGTCCCGAACTATGCGTCTAAGGCGGATGGTAACAAGAGGCGGGGGACACGATGTTTACCCAGGTTCGGGCCCTCCCGATGGAGGTAATACCCTACTTCCTGCTTGATTGATCTTGATGATATGAGTATTACAAGAGTTTATCTACCACGAGATCATAGAGGCTAAACCCTAGAAGCTAGCCTATGGTATGATTGTTGTTCGTCCTATGGACTAAAACCCTCCGGTTTATATAGACACCGGAGGGGGCTAGGGTTACACAGAGTCGGTTACAAGGGAGGAGATCTACATATCCGTATTGCCAAGCTTACCTTCCACGCCAAGGAGAGTCCCATCCGGACACGGGACGAAGTCTTCAATCTTGTATCTTCATAGTCCAACAGTCCGGCCAAAGGATATAGTCCGGCTGTCCGGAGACCCCCTAATCCAGGACTCCCTTAGCCACCGCCTAGGCGGCACCAGCGTACACAACCGGTGTCTTGCCCGGTTCTTCTCTTTCAAGGACCTCCGTCGATCCCACATGGGCTTCATGGAAGCGGAGCCGCCGCCTTCCTCTCCCGTTGAAGCATCGACGGGGGGTTCCACTCTGATGAGTGGCGGCGTTGTGCTGAAGCATAAACCTCCAGGGTCCTGCAGTCCGGTGATCGGGCTGCCGGATATGAGGAAGACAAAGGGATCCACGGGCGCCGATTTAGATTAGGTATTATTATACCTTTAGAGCCGGACTAGCACCGTTGATGTAAATTTAATGAAATCCATCGTGTTTATATGAAAATCTGAGTGTTTTTTTATATGAAATCCGTCATGTTTGCATGAAATCTGGCCGTGTTTGCACGAATTTCGTCCGATTGGTTTGAGTTGTTGTGAAAATGTATGCGGCTATGGTTTGGATGGCTGTCTCCCGCATCCGTGTCCGCGGACTGGTCCCCTCCCCCTGTCCGCGGACGGATGCGGGAGGTTTTTTGCGAGTTGCCGTTGGAGATGCCCGGAGAGCAAACAGTAACTTCATAACTATATGTGCGTTGCACGTGCATGTTTACTAGTCAACTTAGTACTAACACTGCGAACCAACTTGTGGTTGGATGGTTAGAGAGACAGTGGTATTCTCAACCCACCAGGGTCCAAGTCTTTCACTGGGAGGAGACGTCCCCGTTGACGACGAGACACCTACGATGACTTCGTAAATCTCAAAATGATATGCCGGCTCAGTCTCTCGAAGGTGCTCATAAAGGCAGGATGTGTGTGCGTTCATAGGGGTGAGTGTATGCGCGTATGTATGAGCGCTTGCATCTGTACTATGTTATAAAAAACTTACTTTTTTTGAGACAAAACAAACTTAGTACTAGCACTAGAGTTGCTCTTAGCAATGTTTGAGAAAAGGAGTTTTTTTAAGACAATTTGAGAAAGGAGTAGAATGGGGGATAGCGTGAGAGAAAAGAAGCTGGGGTCGAGTTTCAAAAAAAAAAAAGAAGCTGGGGTCCCGTCGCTTGGGCCCGGCGTTTCTTGGGCCAGACTACTGGGCTCTTGGCGGGCTGAGCGTAAGGCGGAGTACAAGTACCCCAACCCAGCTGTTTCGTTGAAACCCTAATCTCATATAGGACCAGGCGGCGGCGGCGGCGGCGGCGCGGCGGCGAGTATACTCGTAGACAGCAAGCCTGAATCCCCAAAAAAACTAGAGAGCGAGAGGATTTGGAAATCCCAGATCTTTGAAGGAGATGGAGATGGAGATCGAGAGGGACTCCCAGGAGCAGAGGAGGATGTGGATCGCAGACCACTCGTTGAAGCATGCGAAGATGCTAGCAGAGTTCGGCTATGATATGCCGAGCAGGAAGACCACTATGTCCCTGAGGAAGGAGGCCTCCACGTCCCTGAGGTTGGAAGATGGAGGCTTGGTTGACGCTCTTTGTCGCCACCGTGAGATCCTGAGGAGGGAAACCAACTTCTTGATGGGGGAGGTCAATTCACGGGCGCTTGCAACTTTAGGCGGAAGGAAGGCTTACAGGGAGTCGATCCAACGGGAGAACAATGTCGCCGTCGCTCTTCTCCGATTCGTTCGCCTCAAGAACGGTCGACTTGGTGGGGGTGAGCTTGCCCCACTTTGTCACCAGCCATGAGGAGTCCCTGGATCTTCTCTTGCGCGAGTCGGATCATCTGGGCCGCCGGATCCAGTCTCTGGCGTCCATAATGAGGAAATTTGATATCCCCGTCTCCTCCGACAAGCCCAAAAAGCTGCTGTTTCTCATGTCACGCGCAGCTGTGATAATCTCCAAGACTATGAAGAATTATTCCAAGGAGGATGCTACTTCTTCAAAGCTTCTTCACCGTGCCCACTGGGAATCTATATGGGGCAGTCAGATGGCAAGCCATGGTGTCTTCGATGATATAAGTATTTTTGTTGTCAGCTTGCTTTCTTCTTCTTAATTACTACCCATGTCCCGTTCAATTAATAATGCAATCGGACCACTCTCTATTTTCACTCTTCGTATACTTGCTTAATTAATTTTGTAATTTGTTAATATAGATTTTTTTTGCGGTTGATTAAGATAGATTTTCTAACAATGCACTCTTGTTTGACTTTGATTTTGGTGCTGCACGCAGCCACACTGAGTCCTATGCAATTCACGCCATCCACACCTGGTATTACTCCCTACTCTGCTACCACCTGCCCAGCATTGCAGATCTACTCTATCAAAATTGTTGACCTCAACGTCAACTTGAGCTGGCCGCTCCGAGTGTACGGTGTTGTCGCCGCCAGAGACACTGTGGACCGCAACCGCAACCTTCTCTTCTACCGGTCCAGGGCTAACTACCAATTAGTCGAGAAAGATGTATGTATAAATACTAAGTCTTCTCCTTAATTTGCTTGCTTGTCCATTTTTCAATTAAGTGTTAGTAATGATAAGTCGAACGATAACGATGGTGCTTCCAGGATCCTTTTTTGCGCTTGACTGGCCCGTCTCGCGCAATTTTGGCCAGCAACCCGGTGACATTTGAAGTTGAACTAAAAACTGTGTATCCTGGAGCGGAGCCGGATCCCCAAGGCGCATTGCTCTCTTGCGTCTATGATTGGCGCGCCGTGCAGGATACCACCCCTATGTTCCTTGGCTATGCTTGTTCTGCACAGTTAAGCCTTGAGCAACTTCCTAGAGCAATCCAGGCCACTATCATGGGTGTCCACATTGTTGATGGCTCATGGCCTCCTAAATATGGATGCCGGGTTTCTTGCTCCTTGTCTGCTCCAGATGATCCCACTCCTAGGGAAGTGTTGTTGCTTGATTGTTCCCGTTCTGATGCTGAAAAAAAAAAGCCCTGTTGGATCAGATGGCTACTTTGGTCTGGCAAGGAATGTTGTTTCAGCTGAACTACAATCAACACTGAAAGTTGTCATACAAGCCCAGTCGTGGAGGCATGGTGGTGCACAGGGTCATGTCGAGTTCCCTGTCCAACAATACTGCCAAACAAGCAAGGGTTCATGTGTTGTAGGCATGTGTAAGGTCGAGGTTGTTGTTGCTTGGTCCCTCCTTGTCGAGAACAAGCTGAATCTCATGCTTTGAGACGTGAGATCTACTATGTAAGAGTCAGCTCTAGCTTGCGACTCATCTTGACCCAGATATTCGTGTACTGACTATTAGCTTATCTTGTGAAACATTGTTATGCTGGTGGTTTGCTAGCATGTTAAGCATTTCTGTTCGGACCAACTATGTAAGATGTTGAGTATCAGTTCTGGTTTCTGTCATCCAACTATATATAACTTGTATGTCATGTCGTGAAGTGTTCTGTTTTGATTAATTTGTAGTTGTGGTGTCTTTTGTTACTGTGTTGGTTTGTTAAAATGTAAGTCTTTGTGTATAGATTTGTTCGCACTTGAGTCTATGTAGTATCACATCATCATTAGTGGCTTCTATTACATTACATTCTAACTCAACAAATCTATACTACATATAGTCAAACCAAATATTGCCATAACAACAGAACATGCTGCAGGAACTGCCTGGCTGCTTCCAAGAAACTGGGTAGCAAGAAGCCCGGCTAGGGTGGAGCTCTGCATTCCAGTGCACACTGAAATAGTCTTGTTTCATAAAGGTGCAATAAGAAATTTAATTAGTTAATGGAAAGGGGTTATGCCCGGTTCTAAAATATATATATTTGGTTTGACTCTTGCATCATACCGGGGAAGTGGCATGCGAATAAGGGACGTTCCTTCGAGATTCTTTCCACAAGCTTCCGCTGATGCGGGATCATGAGAGGCTGGATTTAGCATTGAAATTCTTTCAAGGCCTCCCGGTTTCAGAAACTTGGCTGCCCTTTGGGGATGCAGTTACAGGGGTGTCCTGCGGCTCATCCAGCAATCAGGCATACCATAGCTACAAAACGCAGAACTGCAAACTGGAGATTGTGCAAACTAAGCAGCGGCTGGGAACAACTGTAACGAACCCAGGGTTGCTAGGATCGAAACAAGGGTCAATCGGGGAAAATAAATCGAGTTCAGCTTGTTGCTTGAGAAAGAAGAAGGTGAGGTACAGGAGAAGGAGGTGAGATACAGAGAAGGTTATGTGAGATACAGAGTTCACACAATACACGCATGCCCTCTCTCTGCCTACCACGCACACTTAAGTAACCACACACACACAGCTCTGCCCGTGGGCCTACATGTCTGGCGACTGTGTCCACTCTTTCCTTGTCCACTGCATCATCAGTGGGATGCAGGTGTGACATGCCCCTCTTCTTCAGAGAAAGCCCCGTCTTCCATTTGTGTTTCATCTTCAGGCGTTGTCTGGTTTTGACCGGTCATCGTCTCGCGCCAAATACTCGCCGCCGGAAATCGTTGCCGTAGTGTTTCATAGTCCTCCCAGGTTGTGCCCGACGCTGAAGAAGACCAACGAATGCGGAGCTGGACCAGCGCTTGATCGCCCTTCTTGACCATCCTGCGGTCCATGATTTCCGCTGGCTCGTTGTCGGTGATGGACAAGTCCGGTGGTCGTGGAAGCTCGGAGAACACCGGCAAGTAATTGGGTGTGAAGGGCTTCAGTTGCGAGACGTGGAAGACGTTGTGGATGCGGCTGTCAGTGGGTAGCTCCAGCTTGTATGCGAGCTTGCCGATGCGTGCCAGAATCTTGAAGGGCCCGAAGAATTTGTACGCCAACTTGGCGCACGGTCAATTGACGACAGAGGATTGCGCATATGGCTGTAGTTTGAGCAGCACAGAGTCGCCCACCTCGAATTTGCGCTCCATGCGATGGCGGTCGGCTTGCTTCTTGAACCGGTGTTGCGCACGAAGGATCTGTGCTCGTAGACGAGCCGTGTGTGCACCCCAGTCCCAGTGCTCGGCATCGAGGACCGGGGTTGTCTTGTCGTCCCAGAGGGCTATGGCGTCGAGGTTAGGTTCCACACCGTAGAGCGCCTTGAAGGGGGAAGAATTGATTGATGAATGAAAGGTAGAGTTGTACCAGAACTCCGCCGTTGGAAGCCAGCGACGCCAACGGTGCGGCACGTCATGGATCGCGCAACGGAGGTACATCTCCATGCATTGGTTGACGCGCTCACTTTGGCCATCGGTGTGGGGATGGTACGCCGTGGAGTACAACCGTTTGGTGCCCGCCGTGGTGAAGAGCTCTCGCCAGAGCGCGCTGGTGAAGACGCGGTCGCGGTCGGAGACGATAGAGTTGGGGAGGTCGTGGAGCTTGACGACATTGTCCCAAAAGACGCGCGCCACCTGCGCCGCGTTGAATGGATGATGAAGAGGGATGAAGTGTGCGAATTTTGTCAGCCGGTCAACGACCACCATGATCGAGTCGTGCCCTTCAGACTTTGGCAACCCCTCAAAGTCCATGGTGAGGTCCTGCCATGGCGCCGTGGGAATGGGGAGAGGAGCCAACAGTCCGGCCGGTCGGCGATGCTCATGTTTAGCCTGCTGACAGATTAAGCATTGTTTCACATAGTCCTCCACCTCCCGTTTCATGCCAGTCCAGAGAAACCTCTTCTTCAAGCGCTGGTAAGTTGCTGTGTTGCCTGAATGCTCACCGATCGCGCTGTCGTGCAGCGCACTGATCAGTTTGGTGCGCAGAGTTGTGTTGCTTCCAATCCAAAGGCGATCTTGGCGTCGAATCAGCCCCTTGTGCAGCTCGAACCCTTCCTCGTCGGGACTGTGGATGGCGAGCCGCGTTAGTTTCTCCTGAGCATCAGAGTCTGTGGCATATGAATTGGCCACTTCCTGTACCCAGGTAGGCTGACACAGCGAGAGCGCGGCCACATCCAGTGCTGCGCCCACCCGTGACAAGGCATCTGCCGCTCCGTTGTCCACTCCGCGCCGGTACTGAAACTTAAACTGCAGGCCAACCAAGTTGGACATTGCTTTGCGTTGCAAATCTGTCTCGAGCTGTTGATCACCCAGGTGGCACAGACTTTTGTGATCAGTGACAATGGTGAACTGGCGGTGTTGCAAATAAGCTCGCCACTTGTCCACCGCCATCATGACGGCCAAAAATTCCTTCTCGTAAGCTGAAAGCTTCTGGTTGCGCACACCCAAGGCCTTGCTGAAGTACGCCACCGGGTGTCCTTCTTGCACGAGCACGGCACAGATGCCCGTGTCGCAGGCGTCAGTCTCTATGCTGAACGGTTTGGTGAAGTCTGGCAATGTGAGCACTGGGGCACTGGCCATGGCACGTTTGAGGAGGTCGAAGGCGTCCTGCGCTTGTTTAGTCCACTGGAATCCTTTCTTCGTCACCAAATTCGTCAATGGCTTGGCGATGATGCCATACCGGGCTACAAATTTTCTGTAGTAGCCGGTGAGGCCAAGGAACCCACGTAGCTCCGTTGGTGTGGAGGGTGTCGGCCAGTTGAGCATGGCCTGGGTTTTCTCCGCGTCTGTTCCCACTCCGGTGCTTGAGATGATGTGACCAAGGTAGTCGATGCTCTCCTGAGCAAACGAGCACTTGGACAATTTGGCAAAAAGTTGGTGCTCTCGAAGAAGATCAAACACCAGCCGAAGATGCTCCTCGTGCTCCTGTAGTGATTCACTAAACACCAAGATGTCATCGAGAAAAATGATCACAAACTTGCGTACATACTTGGAGAAGATCTGGTTCATGAGGCACTGAAAGGTGGCTGGTGCGTTTGTCAAGCTGAACGACATGACTCGAAAATGGAAGTGTCCATGATGAGTCTTGAATGCCGTCTTTTCTTCGTCGCCTTCTCTCATCCGTATTTGGTGGTAGCCCGCCCGTAAATCAAGTTTGGAAAAATACCGGGCGCCAGCAAGTTCATCCAGCAACTCATCTACGATGGGAAGGGGAAAATATTCTTCACAGTGGTGTCATTTAGGCAACGATAGTCGACGCAGAAGCGCCATGAGCCATCCTTCTTTTTTACCAAGAGAACCGGGGCTGCGTAAGGGCTCATGCTATGCGCGATCACCCCGGAGTCAAGCATTTCTCTGACTTGCCGCTCGAGCTCATCTTTCTGCAATGGCGAGTATCGGTAGGGTCGTGAGTTTGCTGGTTGTGCTTCTTCCACCAATGTAATGGCATGATCATATTGACGGTGTGGTGGCACTTTCTTTGGTTCTGCAAACACGTCGCTATACTCATTGAGGACCGTCTGAATACCCACTGGCAGCTTGCTAACGTTGTCACTAGAGGGTGGCTGGCGATCAATGAGTGCCATGTACCATATGTCATTTCCTGCTTGCCATTTGTTGAACTATTCTGGTTCAATTGGCTCCAAGGACTGAACTGCGCTCTGTCGGACACCCTGCACAGTGATCGTGGCGCCTTCATGCTCGAATGTGAGCGTCTTGTTGAGCCAATGACAGCTCATTGGGCTGAATTGTTCCAACCAGTCCATGCCTAACACGCCGTCGTACGCCCCGAGCGTGAGCTGGCGCATATCCGTAGTGAAGGTGTGCCCCTGCAGCCACCATTTAACTCCGGGCACCAGCCTGTCGCAGACCAGACGCTCACCGTTGGCCACGCAAACGTCCACCGGCGGCAGGGGTGTTGTTGTCGCTGCAATCCTCTCGACGAAAGATGCCGAGATGAAACTGTGTGTACTGCCGGAGTCGATAAGGAGGAGCATCACTTGATTTCCCACTAGTGTGTGAAGACGGATTGTGCGCGGCGTCTCCGTGCCTGAGACCGCTTGCGTTGACAGGACACAACACTCCTGGTCTGCTGGGGCTGCGCCTTGGTCATCCAAGAGCTCCATGGCCTAAATTGCATCTTCAGTGAGGATCTCGCCGTGCTCACCCATGTGTATTGTCAGCAACTGCAACGCTTGTTTGCAGCGGTGCTCTCTGGAGTAATGATCGCCGCAATGGAAGCAAAGGCCATGCGCACGACGGTGATCGCGTAGTTGCCGCTCTCG